ATATTCTGTGTAATTACTTGCAAAACTGCTTTTATAGATATATATATATATATATATATATATATTTATATATCAGAAATACGGTCTATAAAAAGAAAGAACATACTATAATTACACCCTACTACTTAAACACCTATGTGTAAATACAGTATTTGTTTAGAAAATATAATTTCTTCTACTGTAAAATGAAGCTACAGGACAAAATATATTTTTTTTTTCAAGTGCAATTTCAATTAATAGTACAAACTTTCTAATGAAAAGAGGAAAACATTGTAATATTATCATTTTCTATTTATATTTTGTGACTTATTTTGAAGTTTTTTTTTCATTTACCTATACACGCAAAAACTAAGAATGAAAATAGTAGGGTTGAAAGAATCATGGTCACTTAAAACTGTAACACAATATCCACAAATCATGAAGCTAAAACATCATATTAGGCTAACTTACATGCAAGTTGTATTATGTTTTAACTTCAAAAATGTCAAATATTGAAGTGAAATTTCTAGACATACTATATTCACTTTTATGTTTACCTAGCTTTTAACATTAACATACATTTATTAAAAGTAATTTTAATTCAACAAAAATGTGATTATCTCAACTTTACTTTTTATCAGGACTATAAAAACTGATAAGCTGTAGGCACATGCAACTTTTTTTCTACCTCCACGATAAACTTTAGATACTCAAAAAACTATATCTCAAAATTGCACAAGTTATTACTGAACTTACTGAGATCCCTAAAAAACATGAATAAAAAATAGCAAACTACATAAAAACGAAATTAATACACAATTGTAATCAATAAAATCCAATGCTAAAAAAAAAGATGTTCAAAATACAATGTCCAACACATAAAACTTATGTTTTGTTTTAGGTATCTGTAAACCAGTGAAACTTCAGTTAAAATCACCCAAAGTGTAAAGCATAAATTATTTACCATACCATTTGCATATTAGCTTGACTAAACAATCTTATCACCAAACTGTAAGCTAAGTTCACTGTGAAAACCTGACACAAAAGAAAAACTGACAAACCATAAAGCTCCTTGGTGCTGTTCTTCTATCGGTGTGAAAATAAATCTTTGTTAGTCGATGTACATTAATGAAGACTCAAGTCTGTTTAATAGGCCTGTGTTGATGGACAGTGACATAAATGCCATGCAGTTGGGTGATACCAGTCAAAAACACCCCCTCCCATACTGGATAAATGAGAGGACCTGATATCTGTTGAGACACATTCCACCCCATGAAATGGAGGCATGCATCTTATTCTGTCTGGTTTTTATATTCCAATATTTGGATATTTTATGATAAGTTAAAGCCTATGGATTGATCAAGGTCAGGCACGATTTTTGGACCTCATTTCCATTACATTACTTCGTCCAGGTCGCGCAGGAGCATACATATTTTCCTCAACATGACTACTGGGGACACCAGGTTTGGGACAATTTCTTTCTTTTCTATTGTAATGGCCTCTCCCCTCTCCATAACCCCAGGAAGGTCCAGGAACGGAAGGTGGGGCAGATGGACTTGGTCCAGAGTAAGGTGGTGGTGGTTCACTAGGAGGAGCCTGTTGAAAAGATTCAGCTTGGGTGACCGATCGACCCTGTGCAGCTCTTCCTTGCTGATGTGCTGATTGATGTCTCTGAAGCACACAGATACCATTAGCTAACACCTCTGATAAATACACAGTCTTTGTTAAATAATAAATTTCACAAATACTTACTTTTCAAATATGCAACAATGAAACAGGTAAATTCAATTAAATAATTGAAAATACAACTTTTACATGTACACAATTAAAAGATATTTAATGAAAATGGCAACAGCCTCCTTTTAAAAGATAAAACAATACATGCTTTGATTTTTCTATGTCATCTTCAGAATTAATCTACAAGTTTAAGGATTCAATACTTATAAAGTTGTTACAAGTCATGATATTACATCATAACTTACTGGTCAAATTTTACATTGGTCATCCTATATACTAATACTATAAACTATCTGGAACTTCATCTCTGTTTAATGCCACTTTACTATTTCTATCAATTCTCAGATATTTATAGTTTTATCCCATAAAATTGTGTCGTGTTTTGCTATGATATTACTTAAGTAACCTTTACGTCATTTGTAATATGTACTTTAAGTTCTTTGTATGTAATGCTTCAGATTTAAATACACTCCTGTAAAGGTTACATAACAAAGGTGATACGGAGGAACCCACAGTTAATCTTTCGTTTTTGCCTGTAATACATTCGGCTAACTCGAAAAAATAGGTTTTCAACACACTTGTTAAATTCAATGTATCCATAGTTGTGTACATGTAAAGTGTTGTATTTTAATTATTTATTTGATTTTGAAATTACATAAGTAAAAATCATTCACACCAGTTAAACAAGTAAATCTAAATATCATCATCTTTTCAAATGAAAACCTTACAATCCTCAATCTAAGATTAAAAGATATTCCCTCATTCTTAGAATATTAACATTCTGAGCTTATTCTATAACCATGTATATACAATGAGTCTATGGTAACCACCTTCTTGAACACCCTGTACATTACACTAATGAATAAAGGTGAACACAAGTTTGTATCACCATTAAACACTTTTCATAACTGAAAAAATACAGTCTTCAAATTACATCTTTTAAGGGTGGAGGATGGTAGGCATTATTTAGTAGAAATATATATTTTTTGGGTGGCTTAATTTTATCTTATTTCTACTTTTAACTTTATTACAATTTGTAAGGGTAACTGCCTTCCCACAACTGGCTGTAGACAGTGAAAGGCAGTAAGAGTTGAAACGTCGTGGGTGTAAGCACTCAACTCTGTACCCTTATTGAATTTTCCACAACTGCTGACTGGTTTCTCATCTGCTTTTTGGATGCTATTAGCACAGGCATTCTGCGTTATGACTTTTGGATAATGACCAAAAAGTGCAAAGGTTTTTTGTTTTTAAATAGTTTTGAAATTGTGTGTGTGTGTGTGTGTGTGTGTGTGTGTGTGTGTGTGTGTGTGTGT